CAAGAAAATATAGAGTTTCAAAGAAGAGGTGGATATTGGTATTAATTTTACTACCTCGAAACTCGAACTGGGGAGAACGTGTCGTTTTTCAACTTGTTTGTGTGAGGATTTTTACTTCAAGATGAGAATTGTTCACAGTTTTACCTATCGGTTTACTGTTTAAAGACACATATACGAATACTCTCATGAATATGCAGGGGTGAAAAGTTGCTCCAATGTTCTTTTGGTGAAATGCTATTTTTGTTAATCAACGTTGGCTATTTTGTTAATGTCATTAATTATTGTCAAAGTCAAGCGATTCACAATTCATAAATTTTATTAATGAAAATTCAACGTGAGAGATTTGACTCCAACTGATGTGGCGAGGGCTGTAGCATTAATTGAAAATTACCAGTGGGCCAATGTTCTTTTAACATATGAGAGCCGCATCTGCACCATTTCAATAGATGGCAGGAAAATACTATATCGCCGAGGTGAACAAAATGAACAATTTAATTTTACTGCTTCTGTCTCCTATGGCAGAGGTTTAGTCATGGTTAGGTTAGGTTAGTCAAGAAACGACATATTTTCAGATCCAATTTGAGTTTTGACGTGTAAAATTGATACCAATATCCACCTTTCCTTTGAAACTCTGTATTTTCTTGAATAATTGAGATATCAAGATGAATAGAAAACTTAAATATTCGGAATAGATTGGGCTCCAATTTGGTGTTGAGAAATCGTTTCAATTATCAGTGGTTCAGTCCACAGGATGTCTAAAAAAATACCGAAAAATCCGTACTTTCTTCACACCCCTGTATATGATGGAAAGACTCATCGTTTGGAGGTTATTATTCCTCAGATGTATTCGTGAAGAATGAAGCTACATTTCGTGAAGAAAAAAATTTGAATCGAGCGATCGGTTCGGAAGAAAATTGATGTCAAACTTAGTGTAAATTTTGCCCGTTCATCTAATTGTGCCAGTGTGTGTATATATGTCTCCTCTTCAAACATTTTTCTCGATCAAAGTGTCACTGAAAAGTTATTGGATTTTTCTTTTATAGGCTCCCTTATAGAAAAATGTCTTAAACGCGAAGAAATTTTGGGGCAAATCATCTGATCTGTCCTACAACACATATATGAAAGTCATATTTTCATTTATAGAAAGAAGTAGAGAAAATCTCAAATATTCATGTGAAATGACTGTACCACCTCCCCGATTGATCTACAGATAGTAGATATTATCATGAAATATGACATGCACCTACTGAGCACTAATAGGCATTATCGAAACCTTCATTCATTTTGCAACAATTTGACGTCTTCAATTTTCTTCTTCGAATAAAAACCATTTTCATGCTTTGTGGCACAACGAAATGATTTTGAACTAATAGGCTATATAGTGCCTTAATTTGAATTCAAAATGATGACATCTGATCGATTACGATATTGTCTTATTTTGACAAGTATTCATAAACGTGACAGTCTCATATATTATGAAAGTTCCTTCAATCGATAAACAGAAAATAAAATTTCAACACCCCAAGCTCGAAAGTTAAGTGGTTTGGAGCATATTATGTTCATATCAACTTTTCTTCTCCATCTGCCATAAATTAAATTACACAGTGTATATAAATGGTGAACAATAATAGTTAGTTAATACTCGGAAAAAATGCTCTACTCATTTGAGTACGACGCGTCTGAACTGCCATCCCAAAATAGTATATTACACACCTAGGTGGAAAGAGATTCATTCCTGTCGTGAGACAAAGCGTCGAAATTAGCTGCCTAGATTACAGTTTCAACTGTAAATTATGCAAATGTTCATGAAAAAAAGTTTTTTTAGGATCAGATTCCGTTTTTCAAAACGGGAAATTTTACAGCGTATAGTACTCGTTGAAATAATAAAAAAAAATTCCAATGAACATATACTTTCAAACCGTTTCAAACGCTTCGTTTTTGAGATATTGGGTGTCACAAATACGCTTCTGAATATATTTTTCTAATCAAAAGTTAGAAACGGTAGATAAATCAACGGATTTTTTTCACAGATACTGCACTTTTTGAGCTTCATTAGATTAAATAAAATTTTTTCCTAAAAACTATTCAGTGGCGGCTGAATCTGGTGTGGCGAAGGTAATAATTACACAAATTTGTCGGGTAATTATTTTTCATTTATTTTTCAAGTTTCAATGAAGAAAGCCCGCTTTTAAGATCTTATAACATTTTTCGGTTAAATAATACTACTTGATATCAATCAAAGAAGTATAGGCTATGCTCAGTTGCTCACTGTTCACTGTATGTGCTGTCACACTGAAAGTTCTGTCAAAGAAATAACAAACTGGAGTTATTCCGTGTTTTTATCAAAAAGTGTAATAATTTCATTCCAATTTTGCCGTTTGTCAATATGCCTATGGGAATTAGTACTGAAAACTAGCAGATATTCATTTCGTTTACGGATTTTGTAATGGAAACGCAGAGGCAGCAGTTCGGGAATACAGAAATCGCTTCCCTAAGAGAAGGGTACCTAATGCACGAGTCTTTACCAATACTCACTCACGTTTCCGTCAGTTTGGGTTACATAGTCATAATGAACAATACCGAAATGATGGCGCACTGAGAAGAAATTATAACAATCACATTCTTAGATTTTTTTATGTTAACCAACAAATCAGTTCTAGAAAAGCAGCTCAACAGTTGCAGGTAATTTATAAACTAATATCATGTCATGATTGGTTTGGTGAACGGCCAATGCTAACTAGATTTAATGCATTACAATGTTTCTTTCATTGGGTTTAGAGACATGCATAGGTTTGGTTTTTATTTTTCCTTCTGAAACGAAGCTTTTAGATAAGAAATCTGAGAGGGCAAAAAAAATTTATTTTGAAATACGCCCCTGAAAATATGTATCTCATTCATGAACTGTAATAGGTCTAAAAGTTATCTTATTGATATTTTCACAATAGATGTGAATTTCATCACAATCGGCTATAGCATTTTTGAGAAATCAATAAATAATCGATTTTTTAAAGAAACTTGAACACCCTATATCTCGAAAACGAAGCGTTTAAAAGTATATGTTCATAGGAAGTTTATTCATTATTTCAACGAGTACTATACGCTGTTGAATTTTCCGTATTAAAAAACGGACCACCCTGTATATCCATTTTTGTATGTTCATAATTTATCTGAGAATATTCCCTTTCAACAAATTGGTTCTTATTTCTTTTTTTGAGTAAAAATAAAATTTGGAATTGTTTCACATTACATATTGGTAGTAGGTAAATAAATGAACATCCTTGCTCAATGAACCGCTGATAACGAAATGACAACATTATTCAAAATAGCTGGGATAATCTGCGCACCTCTTGAAATAACATCAAGAGCTCTATAAGTCGTTAATATAACGACCCTTTTATTGCTCGACTTGCCATTTTAAACGTTTTAAATCTCGTTCACGGCTGACTTCACGACTGCTAGCCCTCTTTCTGAATTTCATTACGTCAGACAAATTTTCTATATTGAATTCGTCTCGAAAAAAAAAGTTCAACTAACATCCTCGCCTAATTTCTTCCTAATTAAGTAATACTATGTTGAAATTCCCGATGTAATTAAGACCGTTGTTATAACATAGGCGTCGTTAAGGGCAGTATACCTACCTTTTATTTTTTTCAGTTGAAAATCAGATAACATCGATAATACCTAATGGTTCAGAAAGTGTCATATCTTATTAAAAATAAGTTGTTTTTAATTCATTAATTTGTGATGCGAATTGTATCAAAATCGTATATATCAGAATTCGTCGAATAATCATTTCAGAATGAATTCAAATAGGTGATTTCTGAATTCCAACAAATCTGAACACAGAATACGAGTCTACTCAGATACGAGGTTTTATCGTTGAAGATGTATCTATAGGTCAACCAAAAATCACCATTTTGAAAACTTAGGAAAATCGTTTTTCCACCACTAGCTATAGAACCTATACCATTATTTACTCCTTCTTGAAGCCTGAAGGCGTAAAAGGAGGATGATATTCTTCACTATCTTGGTGTATAAATAACTATTATCACTCATTTCACGAAACAGTTAATAGAATGACAGACAAACATTCTCCAAAGACTGCGAGGAGATATAGTGATGTTTGATGTGATTATAATAATATCCTGGATTTGGCGAAATGGAATGAAAGTTTAAGATGAAAATCGTTATAGTATGGAGAATATTCCCACAAATTATTGATGAATATATTTCTAGGAAAAACGTGGATCATAGTAGAAGTTACAAAGATGAAACTTCATATCTGAGTATTCGATGTTTTCTGGCATTAGATGACTATACTCCACCAGTTATATCAATTCCTCAAATTTGAATACAGGGTGAATTGATTAAGCAAATATTTCAAAATTTCACATCGAATAACTATCACCCTATATGAGGTATTGCGCTAAAATTTTGTATGGGCGCATTTGAACACATTGTCAAGGGAGTTGTTCCCCAAGGTATATAACCTCCAGAAATTCAAGAAGAACACCGATTCCTACCTTATTTCCCTTGGTTCTCACGATGTTCTCTGAACATTACAGCATATCCCTTTTCGTGGGAACCAGAGAACAAAAAAAAATTTGAGCCATGCCTGAATTAAATTGGCTATCATAATGATAGGGTCCTTGATATACTCAAAATATGAATTCAATGGAATGAATTAGATCAACTAATGACTTAACAGATCTTCGAGAAATAATCCCTGAATAAATTCCACCAAAGAGCTTTAGGGCGGGCGTCGTAGTGTATTAGGGCAATGTATTTTTGTCGACCTTTTGGTGAATAAATCATTATGATATTCTCCTTCATAATAACTCATTCTCAGATGAACCTTCGATATATTTTTTTTCAAAAACCTTACAAAGCATCGATTTCCTGGACTTTGTCATTTTTTTGCATCATTCATTCTTCAAGGAAAAACCAAATGAAAAATGTGGAACGTATTTATTGTAGAGGCTTCGCAGAAGATGTTTATATCAGTATGCCCTGATTTTGGGAGGGATACTTGGACATTCTTCTTCGTTCAGGGTACAGTCTATCACTGGCCTGTGTGTGAAGCAAACCTAAAAAAATATTTCCACTGTCAAGATATTGGAATGCTTTCAGAAAATGACCCTTGAAAGCATTATGATTGGAAAGTGGACAAACAATATAAGCGACAGATATGAGAAGTTGTGAGACTATCCAACAACGTTAGGACAATAGGAATTTACATTGCAAGTAGAAATTCTAACTTTCAATACGCTATTGAAATTATCAGAGAAATATTTTCAGCGTTTATATGAAGTTCGCATTATAGGAGAATTAATTTTATTGGGTAATTAGTTTCGAATTCGGTGTTCATGGACAATTTTGGTTCGAAAATAATGTAGAATAACATTGATGATTTTTTCGCTCAGATGTACTAGGCACTGGGCTAGTAATTCTCAAAATTTCGAGAAATATCAAATGAAGTAGTTAGGTAGGTACTGTTTTTCTCTTGGATTTCTGAACCACCTACCAAATTCGAATGTATTTTAACAAATTTGAATCTTATTTGTTTCAATATTACCAACAATTTCCGGCATGTACAGGGTGATTCACCATGAATGTCCCCCCCTCTAGCTCTTTTATTTTTGAACTGATATGAAAATTTGAAAAATCATATGACATGATTTTTCAGAAATTTTTTTCCCGTTGCATCAGAAAATACAGGGTGCTCGGAACAAACGATCTACAGAGTACGACATAAAGAGCTGATTGCATCAATGAATCACACATGGGGTCTAGAAGGGATGATTACAGAGATATAGGGTGTTCAAAATCGAGATCCTTCAACTTTAGGATTTTTTTTTGTCGAAACTTTTCATTATTGGTCAAAACGGCTTCGATGTCCCTATTTCAACTTTCGATTTGATATCTACTGACATTAAATTGGAACATATACAGTGTGGTTCAAGATTCAGAATTCTGATCATCCTGTATCTGTTCCAATTATTGAATGTCAGTAGATAGTAAATCAAAAGTGAGAATACGGACATATGAAAGCCGTTTTCACCGATAATGAATAGATTTTGAAACCCCTATATCTCTGTAATCATTTTCGCTAGACCCCAAGTGTGATGCATTGATGAAATCAGCTCTTCAGGAAAAATCTGAAAATACAATTCAAAATAGGGTGTTCCATATAGAAAAATCAAATAGTACCCTGTAGATCGTTTGTTCCGAGCACCTTGTATTTTCTGATGTAGCGGAAAAAAGCTCTATCTCGAAAATCATTTTAGATGATAATCAAAATTTTGCAATCGGTGCAAAAATAACTAAGCTAGAGGGGAGGGACATTTATGGCGAATCACCCTGTACGAGCTTCGAAGAATAAGATATGTCTAATAGGACATTTCCAAACAGAAAAAAGTAGAAACGATGTTGTCACCTAGTTTAACATAATGATCACGATGACACGAGAACCACTGGCACTGTCATGTAGGAAATTTACATTGTTGGCATAGGAAAAAGACAAGCTGTAAATTCACCTGAGACTGTGAGTTTCAATCATATGTTCAATGATACATAGGATAATAATAGTAGTTTGTTTTATTAGGATCAAAAGTGACACTTTATTTGACAAACGACAAAATTTGCGAGTCAAACAAAGTCACTTTCAATCCGATTGTAACATGCTATTTTTTCTGCAACAAATAATCAGTGTGGTGAGAATATTCTACCTGCATTAACAGCAGGTTTATTCAATTTTCAAGGATGTTCGAATTGTAGTTTCAATATGAATACAATCACAAAAGTGACATATTTTTGTATGGACCAGGTGCTCTAATGACAAATACCGCGCCAGTGCCAGGTATAGGATCAAGACGTGGAAAATGTTAGGTTAGTGAGCATATCAACAATAATAAAAGCGATTATTTATTCCCCTCCATACTATACTGTGTTTGACTTGATAATCAAAGGTAAACAATATCGTTGTTTGAGACAAAAAACTATTGCTTGCCGTGATTATTCAAGAACAAGTTATCCATCCCGAGAATAACGAATGAGGCTTCCCTGATCAAAACAAAAACACTCAACTGAGATGTTTATAATTCCTAAACTTAACTATAATAAGGTGTATTTATATCTCCAGCATGGGTATGGCAACATATTTAGTTCCTAAGAGCGGAAGTTGAACTTTTGTTCCTAGGAGCTAAAGTTGAACTTTAGCTCCTAGCTCTGGTATTTGCCATTGGAGCACCCGGGTCCATAAACAAATATGTCACTCTGTAATTATATTTATATTGGAACTACAATTCGAACATCCTTGAAAATTGAATGAACCTGCTGTTGATGCAGGTAGAATGTTCTCACTACACGGATTATTTGTCAATATTTGTTGCATTGCATACATAAGGCACGGCATTGGTAGTAACTTCACATATTTATTCGAGTTAATTGTTTCGGTTGCAGAAAAAATAGCATGTTTCATTCGCTAATAAACGCTCCGCCTCGCAAATGCAAAATTCGCTTGGCAAACAAAGTGTCACTTTTGATCCGAATGAAACAATCTACTATCATTCTTGATGACGTCTAGTACATCCTTTTTGTTCCTAAGAGCTAAAGTTCAACTTCAGCTCCTACCTACCTATTTTTGTGACAGTATTAGAGCTAATTTTGGTATTAAAATGGTCAACATTTGTGTCGGTTGCAGAAAAAAATCATTATGCGCTCATCAAACAATATACTGATATCTATTATTATAAACTCTAATTTAGGAAACTATCGCGCATTACATCTTTGAATGAATAGTAGTTTTGGAAACTGAAAATTTCCTGCAAAGCGAGACCAAATATGGAATATTTACCTCTCCTGTTTGAACATCCATCCAACACAGAGTGTGCTTCCTCCAATGGTCGTCAAAAGATTTTCTTTTTTGTCCTCTCACTGGTTTGCTATAGTCGTATTCATCAATCCGTTGCTATGAAATGAAAATAATAATAAACAGGGTGATTCATAGGATTGCACGAAAAAATATTATTGTCACAACTTTCCAACAGCTTCTTTGATTCATATCAATTTTTTATGGAACATTATGCACTCCAACACCAATAGACTAACGTATACAGAATTGAGAAAAATCCAGGACTGTACTTGTGAAATATTGCCAGCTATCAAATAGTTCACTCTGTATATGGTTACAGTGAACAATGACATCTTCTCTGTCAATCAGAACAAGATTTGTTGGTGCTTCATCCAGCTGAGAATGGTATACCCCGAGGTATACCCTACTAGTTTCTTTCAAAAACAACTAGTATTATTTATTTTGACAAATCGTGTTTAAGAAGAAATGCAATTTTTCAGAGTGATATTCAGAGCAATTGCCCAAAATGTGCATCATTATTGTCTAGACAATAGTACAACCTATTTTCGATTTCTTCACGAACTTTTTGAAACGTTTCCCGATTGATGTGTCTGCATTCTGAAATGATTCTTCTTTTGAGTTCATCCAATATTTCCTGGGGGAGTCTTATAAACCATTGTTTTCAAGTGACTATATAGATAATGGTCAAGAGGTGTCAAATCTGAAGATCTTGCTGGCCATTCTATGACACCTTTTTTGCCAATCCACTGCCTAGAAAATCGTTGATTCAACCATTCTCTTACCTCTAGAAAAACATGTGGTGAAGCTCCATCCTACTGAAAAAACACAGGTTACTTTCGTCCAACAACATATTATCATGATCATCGATTGGCCTCTCTAAAGGCTGTTGGGATCAATTGTATTTTCCAATAAATCCAGGTACAATTGTCCATTTAAACTGTATTCAATGAACAGTGGTCCAATTATCTCCTTTCCTAGAATACTAGCCCACACATTGATTTTCTCAGGAAACTGAGTATGGTCCTGTCGAAATATGTGTGGATTTTCATTGTCTCAGAGTTTTCAATCATGTTTATAAACAAAGCCGTTCAAATAAAACGTTGATTCATCACTGAAACAGATGTGCTTGAGAAAACTGGCATCTTGTTGAATCTTCCCAGACATCATCTCACAAAATTCGATTCTGTAAGTAAGACACGATTCGTCAAAATAAATCATTCTAAACTGCTTCATATTTGAAGTGAAACAAGCGAATATTTTGTTTGTTTTCGAACCGTAATAACTTTGGATGAGATCAACCCATTCTCGATTTTGTTTGCGATTTGGATTGCTCATTCAATTGAGTACAACATTATTTTCTGACGTTTTTTCAACTTTTCGGAATCATGACCTATAGGATGATATCTGAAAGTGTGATAAGTTTAGAAAAATTTGAGGTCGCTCCGTTGGTAAGATAATTTTTTATTTTTTGTTTCTGACTGCAAAAACATGAAGCCTGATGTGTTTTATCGAAATGGTTTCGGATTGATCAAGATCCATACAGGATGTTTTGAGATATGCAATTTTTAACAACATATGGATTTTCGAATTGTTCAAATACCTTAAATTCATTGGTTAACCCCTCGGTATAGTCTCATGTTGTCTATTGGTGTTGGAGTGCCTAAATGTTCCATGAAAAATGGAATGAATCAAAGAAGCTGTTAGGAGAGTTGTGACAAAAATATTTTTTCGCTCAATTCAATAAATCACCCTGTTTATTATTGTAGAAGAGGAGGAAAACTCCAGATGATCATTTGATATTCCCCTCATGGCCCTCTGTTCGTGGTAGGAGTATGTACAGTACCTCATGACTCACCCTGTTTACGAAATAAATATTTTTTCACCTAGTTGATTTGATCATTGATAGACCCTCAATTTTTTGTATCTCAAAGTAGGGGATGCCATTTGAGATTTCAAAGTAGGGATGTCTGGGGATGAACATAGAATTCAATTATTGATACTGGCATTTTACTTCCCTCTTGATATCAAAATCGACCTGTTTTTTCCGAGAACTGTAATCTTTGCAGATCAAGAGATATGCAGGGTGGTAAGTTTTGAAATGAAAGCCCTGTATAAGCTAATACAGAATGTTATTCGAAATTCTACATCCATGAGCCCTAATTAAATTGCAATATGCTTGGACAGTTCTCAAAATAACAGCGAATCGCATTCAACCAACATCCATCAAATAACGTTCCATTGTAATTTATTTTGTTGTAGCATTTTAATTATCGATATTCTATACTCAGTTATTTGCCCAGTTGTAAATTAAAATCTGAACGTAGTTACTATTGCAGCTCCATTGTTACTGTTTTTCACGAATATACGATTATATGATTGATTGATGGTTGGAATTTAAACCTACAATTTTGTTATAGATAATGAACTATAGCGATAAATGTTTCCATGATATTTTTCCATGTGGAAAAATCAGAAGTAACTTTGACCAGTAAACCGTATTGTCCTAATTTTGACGGAAGTTTTGAAATGTCTTATTTATAGGTAACCATTTGCGTAAAGTAAAGTATTAGATAGCTGGTGATGAAATGTTCGTTTCAGCACCAGTTATGTAATCAAAATATGGATGGATAAAGAGAATAGTGCATTTTGTGTAGCTTCCTCGAAATCACTTCGGAATCTGAACTTGAATCAGCAATTTTCCACTAATGAAGATATCAAACGAGTCTATTTCGTGAATTTGGTCGCTGATTTGTGACCATCTTGATGATTGACGGATACTTCAAAATGACAGGCGAAGTCAACTTGCCGATTTTATGTATTTTTTTTTCAAGGAAGGTTCTTTCATATTTCTTCTGTAGATTTTATATAATTATGTCAACAGAAAAACAGTTGAACATCTGGAAAAATACGTATGAGCAACATTTATACATTTCTGAATAGAACAACCTGTATTCTATTGTATTTTCAGTTCTTCCTGAAAAGCTGATTTCATCGATGTATGCCACTGGAGGTCTAGCTGGAATGATTACAGAGATATAGGGTGTGAAAGATTTAAATTTTTTTCAACCTCAAGAATTTTTTGAGTCGAAACCATTATCTATTGGCTAAAACGGTTTTCATGTCCTTATCTTGATTTTTGATTTACTATCTACTGACATCTGATTGAAACAAATACAGGGTCATTAGAATTCTGAACTTTTCACCACCCTGTAGATAGTGAATCGATAGTTGAGGTGGAAACATGAAGAGCATTTTCACCAATGATGAATAGTACCGATACAAAAAATTCTTGAAGTTGAAAAAATCTCACTTTCAAAAACCATATATCTCTGTAATCATTTCAGCTATATAGACCCCAATGGGCTTATATCACAAAAAAATTTTATTCCATAATTCGATAGAACTCACCCAAACTAGCTCACCACCGCAAATCGTTTATCGCTGTGAGCTCCCTATACGTTTCATAAAAAATTATTGAAATCCCCGATTTTTCGGACCTCTGAAAACGAGGCGATGATGTGACGTCAAAACCCTAATACTGAAACAGGACTATTCCAGACAGAGATGAATGATACATGATTTCTGGCAGAGTGAATTAGCGCGAGATCACAGTTGAAAGAATTAATATATCAGTTGCCTCAGTATCCGTCCGGCGTTTGGTATTTTCTTTTAACTATGGCGAGATGAGGTTTCTACGTCATAAAAGGGTCCGTTTTCAGATGGTACTATTATTTATGTCCAAAAATTGAACATTCCAGTAAATTTTTCGATCGAATTATGTCGTCAATCATTATTTATGTATGAAAGGATCATTATAAACATGGTTTGAGTTGCAAGTTCTACCAAGGTGTGCACGCCCATTGTGATGATATACCGATAAAATCAGCTCTTCAGGAAGTATCTGAAAATGCAATGGTATTTAGAAAAGTATGAATGCTGCCCATAAATATTTTTCGAGATGTTCAACTGTTTTTTGTTGGCATACAGTGTGTTACAATTTGCTCCACCCCATCACTGTACTTTCATACTCCTATTGGACGATTCAAGAATTATATTTCTTCATAATAAACTATAACTATAAATACAGTGGAATAATATCAAAATCATAGGAAAGGAAGATAACTAACAAAAAAGAAAAATAAAGGAATCCGCTTGCATTCTTCTAAACGGAGACAATAGCATTGCTTCCTGTTCAGTTGATATTGATAGAACATGGTATTCACTACTGAAAACTGAACATGAAAATGGTAGATTCAAGATCAATTGATGAAAACATCCTGTAACTCATTTGTAGACTAAAATCACTCATTCATATGCCAACATCAGTATGACACTGAAAAGTGTCAAACTATACGCAGCACAACTTTCAAAGAAAAATAATTTGCATTTACATGTTGAGAACGGGAGCAGAATCGGTCCCGAAACGTCCAAAGATAAGTACAAATTCGATATTTTTTCAATATATCTATATTTCTTTCCTTCGAAAATTTTTTCAAACAAATTGTCACTGACAAGCTACTGGATTTTTCTTTTAGACTTCCTGATAGAAAAATTTGTTAAACGCAGTGACATTTTGGGGCAAATCATCTGATTTGTCCCCCTACAAATATATTGAAATAATACGAATACTTTTATTTTATAGAAACGAGGAGAGAAAATCCCAAAGAACCAAGTAAAATGAATATAACTATAAAAATTATCAATCCCAATTTCTAAGCCTACTGCGATCATAAAAACTCCAGCAAAATCAACAAAAACAGATTACGCATTTTTTTCAAAATTTTTGATAATGGTAATCGATTTGAACTAGCAGCGAATACTCCTAAGTCAATTTTCCTAACAATATTTCATAAGGGGTGTTTTTTCTCAACGTTACAATTTTTGAATAATAACATTTTTCAAGTATAACACTTATTCCTTCAAGAATTTGAATAATACCAGACATGAATACAAAAATCTGAATCTGTTAGGAATGGTTGCTTTTCTAGTTTTTTTATGTTACTATGTTTTCTTCGTCTTTTCATTTCTTGATAGAAATTTAAAATTTCTAGTGATTTTATTCGTTATTTATCTCACTCTGTCGACAGATAATCTAA